GACGCACCTCCCGTCAAGGTACCCGTCCCCGTTACGTGTCTGCTTGCACAGAAGCATGTCGCGATGTGAATCTCCCCATCCAATTCTTACTCGATGACACACATTTCGTGTGTTTTATGTGAGCAGTTCTGTTCGAACAGTTGGAGTAGAGAATATTGTAAGTTACTGCTAGCAAAACAATGCGAAATATGTAATTATTTTCGGTAATCCGAACACTTTTGGTAATCTGACACCCCTTTGGTCCCATACCTGTCGGATTATCGAGGGACAACTGTATTGTTATGTGAAGTGAGAAGTTTACAAATATAACCAACAAATGGAATGGATTCAATTATAAAAATCTGGCAAAAAAAAAAGTTACCAAATACTTGTTGATATGTTCCAAATACTCTATCTCTTTAGATTATGGCAGTATACAAGTATAATATAATATTTTAAAGATAGACTCAAAAATATAACATGATAATATAGAAAATCAAACTTAGTAAGGTTTAAGTGTATTATTCGAAATACGGTGGTGCCCCGTATAACATACGCCTCGAATAACAGACTTTCTGTTTGGCCATTACGTGACTTGAGCAATGGACTGGTTGCGAACAACAGACTTTCTGTTCGGCAGTTACGTGAGGCAAACAACAGACTTTCTGTGAACAAGTGTGAATGATGTTTCCACTCTTTTGCCGTTGCCAATGACAATCTGCTAATTTTATAATAATAGTATTATCAGAATATATTATTAGTATACCTGAAGTGCAGAGCTCTCATTGGGATTCGGCTTGCTCACTTGTTTATTACGTACATCACCTCAGTGCAGGGTATTTACATTTATTCAAGTGTTGTGAAAATCATGGCTTCTGAAAAAAACAGAAAAATGATTTCAATTGAAACAAAACAAGAAATCATCAGAAGTGAAAGTTGACAAAAACTTCCTTGTCAAACGGGGAGAGGTTCAGAAGTTTACCAACACTCATTATCCAAACAGAGCTGAGGCCAACAGGATCAATGATCTCTACAATGACACCCTTGCCTGTCATTTCCAACAGGTGTGGAAGAAGAGAGAGAAAAGACCACCTTGGACATGTTTTTCAAGAAGCCAACTGCCAAAAAACAAAAAATGGAACAAGAAAAGTTGACTCTGCAAGCTTCAGTAGCCTCTCCTGAATCTGACTCCGATTAAAAAATAATAAAAAGTGTTCTGCTGCAATGTGTAAAAAGTCTGTATCTGTATGAATGTGTGAAGAAAGTGTTCCTCCATCTCCTCCTCACAACATCTGACTACCCAGCATAATCGGTGACTGCTCCATTTTCATTTTTTTTATGGTATAGTATGGTTATTTTATGCTGCGGAACAAATTATATGTTTTAACATGTATTTATATGGGAAAATACGTTTCGTATAACAGACTTTTCACTTAATGGACGTGCACCTGGAACAGAGTAAGTACGTTATACGAGGCACCACTGTATATTTATCATCTCAGTCATTTTTATTATTTATTAATATACTTTTGTAATTTTGCCATCACTGAAGGAAAAACTTTTTGATGTTTTACATATTGAAGTTGATGAGAACCTCCAATAAAAGGTCAATTCTACTGTAAGAATGTTATGCTCCCTTGTATAATAGGGATGAAATGTAAAGACATCTTTTGTATTCTTCCATTATTTTGTGTAATTTTAAAAATATATTTATCATCCTGGTCATTTTTATTATTTATCAAGAAATTACATATACAGTAATACCCCAAACTTACGTGATGGGTGGGACCGAGCGATAACCGCGTAAGTCAAATTCGTGTAAGTTGGGGTATAATTTCGCAATTTGTGTAAAATCCAAATCAGATGTATGTAAGCTAATAAATGTTCTCGTTAATCTTATCTCGTCTTTTGATTCATTCACGGTTACAAGAAATCACCACATAGAGTCTCTCAAGTCTCCGTAGATATAACAAACACAGAAATAAATAACACAAAATAAATTGTAGCTATGTGTCGATTCCGCACGACACGTCCGAACATGTAAGCTGAACAATAGTGTGGGGGGAGTGAGTAATCAAGAGTTGCGTGGCGCTCAAACAAAAGACAAATCTACAAGATTTGAAAATTGCGAAAGTTGGGATAGCGTTAGTCGAGGTATTACTGTATAGAAAAAATAATAATTATAGAATGCTAAATTCTAAACTTTCACTAAAAATTATCACCATCAGAAGTTAACACCTTGCCAGTACTGGGAACATAGTTTACTGTTATTATTATTGCTACCTTTTCTGCTTTTTCTATTGATAATGTATTACTGTTTGAAATAAAAACATTTTTTCTTTTAACAAATAAGGGTTAAGCAAATAAAATGAAAATATAATGCTCTCTAGCTAATCCAAACTAATTATTGAATAGTATTATTCAGATTAGCAGGCAGAGATGGACTGGTCATCTGTCAATTCTGACAAATGCCAGTGCCTTCCAAGCATTTGTGAGGCTCTGGACAAGTCCTAACCCTCACTAAAATTCACGTTAAAATAATTTTCTTTTAAAGAAAAATATAGTAGTTAGAAATAGATTTTTTTAATATGAAAACGCGACACTAACTTTTAAACAATAGAAGAATGTAAGTCCGTCAACCATCTCCAGTTGGAGATCGAGTTAAACTTCGATTCTGACCTCTCCCACACCCCCGAAAGGTTTCGATTTGTCATCAGGTGACAAGGAGAGACCAATTGAAACGTGGAATCGGAAGAAAATGAATGAAATCCCAGACATTCAAGGACGCGACGGCTTCTTCTCCAAAAGTTCCAAGTGACAGATCTATTGTTGTGTATGTGTGTCGTGCCCATCTTTGTCTCCATCTCCTGACCTCGGATTAACATCTTTCCATCAATGGAAGTCGACCGCATCATCCTGGAGTTATCGAGACGTTGATGGAATTGTTCATTTGCAAACAAGGAACACTTCTTCAAAATGGAACTATCTTGGAAAGGAGAGGAAGACCCAGAGGCCGCAGCTGACGTATAACTTCCAAGATCGCGGAAATCTTGTAAGCTTCTTTCATATTTAATAAATGGGTTGTGTTGTTGTAAATGAGGCATGTATCTCTGACTCAACTGCTTCCACATGTCGTTGATTGTTACTGCTCGGCATTCCAAATGGAAAGGGAGACGATGACGATATATATCACATATTATCGTTAAATTACATTTTTTAAATTTCTACGCCCTTGGCACCCACACATTTGTCAGAATATTTTCAGCATTGCTCAAATGTGTAACATAAATATTTTTAATTATTATTAATAATAATTTTATTATTTTAAATTTTTCCAAAGCTTTCACTAATGAGATCAAGACTTTCACCTTCTAAGACCAGGGTTTAATCTGTCACTAGTATTTTCACTAAAATGCTATAAGAATTTAGATTTAGCAACAATTTTCTTTACATTTCACTAAAAACCTAATGTTTTCCAAGTGGTTATAAAATGTTTTAACCACATGTTTTTAAGATGTTTTAACTAGCAATAGGATGATACCAAAATTTCGCCGAATTCAGATTCTGCTAAAAACAGATTCTTTTGAATAGTTTCTAAAGTTCATTTCAGTTAATTCATTCACTTGTACCATGTTTCCCTAAATGCACAATTTGAGGGAAGGAAGAATCAAACAAATGTCTAGACTAATTCATCTTGAAAAATGTTTTAAAAAACTCAAAACGGAAGTAAATTTAATTTTGTGAATTATGACATTTAAAAATTTTTTTGTTGCATTTTTGGTTTGCAATCCATCAAG